TATATATATATATATATATATAATGTTTTACTCGAGCTAAGAATTATTTAGAAAAGTCTCTATATTTGCACCAGGTAGGATAAAGATTGTACACACCACTTGTGAAATCATATGGATTCGTTGTTGTTGCGTATATAAATGTTAAATTCCCTAATTTACTTCTTTATGTTTTAAATCTCCTTAGTGAAAATCTTGTTGTTATTCTCAATACTTATGTTCGTATTAAGAAATTCAAAAATTAAATTTAAAATCCTATCATTAACACATGAGTTTATAGTCCCGTGCGAGATCAAATTAGAATCTAAAACTTCAATTTAAAAAAGAAAAAGAAAAAGGCAACCCAATACACTAAGCTCAAAGAAAACGAAAAAGGCAACCCAATACACTAAGCTCTCGCTACATGGAGATGCGGAGAAGGCCTGAAACCACAAGAGTCTATTCTATACAGTCTTACCCTGCATTTTTGAGAGGCTTGGATCGAAAACTTTAATTGACTTACGAAAATCCAAACAAATTTAAAACGCAAAGAAGATGCAGATCGGAGAATACAGAAAAAATAGGAAAGTAACATGTTCATTCTTCATATTACATTGCCAATATCACAAAGACCATTTGGGCCACAAAGCAAAAGGTTCACTGGGCTCCTTACAAGAGACTACCAAAGTAACAGAACAGATAGCCATGGCTATGCCTGTTGCCACTTTCTCAAGGGCAAGAAAGTTCCGCGAAAGAGAAGGGAATGCACAGCAATATAACAGTAAGAACAAAAAAAGCAACCTTTACGCGGTATGAAGGTTTTTTTTTGGTGGTTGTTGAATCTCTTATATGCCTATGTATTTCTACTATCTACTAATCGACTGTTAGTGGCAACAGTCTGCATAATTTTCACAACTATACATCAAATATTAAACACTCAGAATAGGAGAAGGCATAGGATAATGCAGCAGAAAAGAAAGATGGATAATCTGTTAAGAGATTTTTCCACCTGCCTCATTCTAAAACCACCACTTCCTGGAATGGTGGAAGTGTTTGGGTGAGGATAAGCAAATAAACTTGTGTCTGAGTTCCCGAACATCCTTCCCAAAAACATTTCTCCGAATACCCCAACTGTTGGACTGGATAAACTGATTGTTGGAGTACCCCCAAAGCTGGATGGAGCTAAAGCAGCATAGCTACCAAAGGCAGAGGGGACGGATCGTCTGTGATGAAGTTGCTGACTCACGTGAGAAGATGGAGACAATGAATTAACGAGAGTTGATATCTCAATGGCTTGAGGCCTGCGTGGTACTACAACATCCCGTTGAGACTTCTTGGATTCAGATTCTGTGGATGATGTTCCACGGCCATAGAGAGGTACCAGCGATGAGTTTGAGATGTGAGCCTTACAGACTGGACATTTACATTTCTCTTCTGATCCCGGAGTTGAGCTATCAACCTGAAGCCACTTGTAAATGCAAGGCCAGCAGTAGAGGTGTCCGCAGAGGGTGACAACAGGATCGTGTGCTGAGTCGAGACAAATATTGCAATCATAACCTCCTGTTATATTGTCAGAACTTGACGTTGGAACTGGAACTGGAACTGCACTCCCTTTCTTAAGGGAAACATCTTCTTCAGATACAAAACTGAACATATCTTCACCAACAAAATTTTGTTCCAAAGCCATGAGATCTGTTAAAAGGACAAAATTTGCAAACAAATCAGCCACTAAAAGATCCATAGGAAGTAAATTGCCATCCCTAGAAAATTAACCTGAAAATCTACAAGGACAGGATCTATGATAACACTTTAAAACGAGAAATGAATCGTACAAATGAAAACATACATGTTTATCCGCACAGCATTATTATGATTGAATGTCAACAACTTCTAAACTTCAGATTTCCAAAAGACCACTCTATATAATTAGTATGACCATTTGGAAAGCAAAATGAAGAAGACAACTTAACAAAGCATCTTCCTAGTTCTTTTTTTCGTTTTCCTATCATTTAGAACTTGGCTTGTTGGGAGTATGCGTGTGACTAGTGAGGAGCAAGGGTTGCAAAAAATATAGTCCCAAGTAACCACGCTCTATTCAAGCACGAAATACTAAATCATAGGATTGCATCTATTCACTCGAATCCGTCTTCTTCAAAACAAAAGTAGTGGAAAAAATACGATGTAGCTAGAATCTATTTATAAACAAGAATTAGGTCCTGAAAAACTGAAATAGATCACAAAGCTAGAATATGACTAAAACTGCATTTCAATTCGTTTTGATTGAAAATACATTTGTTTGTCAAACTCCAGCCTACATTTCAATATCTAAAAGCCAAAAACACATAAAAACGCCATCGCAAAAGGTTAATATCTGTTTGCCAATAGGATATATATAAACATAAACTTTGATTGCACAAGTTGACATATAACAAAATTATCTCCCAAATTCCTCTTCTCATTTCTCCATTTCATAAATGCACGTGAAACTTTCCCTATCACGCATTCGAAACGAAACAAATAAAATTCTTCAATTTCTGAAACAAGTAAGCATGGCACAAAACTAAAATCATCAAAAGAACTCACTTGCACAAACACAAGCAGTTCAATGAATATAAAGATTTTCTTTTTCACAAAACTAATCAACACCATTAATTCTTTCTTTTTGGTTTCCAACCTAATACAACAATACCCGCATTAGAGCCCGACTATTCATAGCCCATCAATAGGGAAAGAGTTCCCTACCAAGATAATAGTATTTTTTTTTCATTTCTTGGCTCAAACCCGACACCTCTGGTTAAACATGGAAGAATCATATTCATCCCCGATCCCACCACATACCAACACTAACTAC